ACTCTTTACGCAGTCAGGAAGTCGCATGTGAGAGCCTATTCAAATACATGGAAGCAGTAGCGCGCTCGCATCAATCGCACGCACCTCCTGCATGCGATTGATGCAGGCGGAATTATAATGTATTTGAATAGGCTCTCGCATGCAATTTCCTGAATGTGGAAAAGGTTTTTTTCAGCCTTACCGTCTATGTGTTTCATAGGCGGCGCTACGGGGAGGGCACCGGGACACCGTGCCCCCCTTTGATTTTGGCATTTTAACATTAGCCCTATGGGCGTTGCACGGAAAGAATGGGACCAAAAGTCGGCAGTGCCCCCCTTAACTGAAGGTGTTCCGCCGCTACTGATGTGTTTACCCACTTCCTGTTTAATTAATACCTACCATGGTCTCCCCGCAGAGCATATTTGTGGCAACTCTGGGCTCGTTCGTGTTCTTCAACGTGCAGAAGACCAAGTATCTGCAGGTGCTGACCACGCTGATGCGATGGGGAGGTGAGCGTTTGTTTTATTTGAAATAATTTATTCTTTTGATGGCGACCAGTTATGGTCCATAACATATTGTACCGTCAAACCGTGCTGCACCCATAGACTGAAACTGAACAAATAAGAATCTTTTAAGAATCCAAGTATTCCCTGGCGACAGCTCTCGACCTAAGTACTGAAGTGGCCTGTTAAATGTATTTATCATTACGCTGAATCGGAAATAACCAATCCATTTATATCCGCGTTTGATGAATGCCAGTGTCAAGATGGCTTTGTATGGGATGGGTTTTGTCAGTGTGCATGTGTGACGGTCCCCTGGTAATTAATGTAACATCTGTGGGAAGCTTTGGGTCTGGTGTTTATGCTGTGGGTTAGCCTTCGAGCTGTTGGTGGCGCCGTCATCTTTTCTGTTTGTGTGTCCATGTGACCTCTCTGTTGTCAGCAGTCAGATCGGCAGGTAGTCCTGCCGTTGTCTCTAAGACTTGCACTGTGTCTATGTAATTATAGCCTCCATTATCTGTGTATAACATTCTGCCCGATGGTGGTGTTGTCATTATCTGCCCTGTCACTGTCAGTAGGTATGTGACGGTCTCTGTTCTCTGTCGACAGCGTTCGGTCTGATGATGGTGCTGCTACTTTATCGTTATCGCTGTCCCTGTGTCTATTGTCTCTGTCTCTGCCCTCTGTTTTCTTCCTATGAAATAGCCTCCGTTCTCGCCCGACAGCGTTCGGTCTGATGGTGGTGCTAGCTCTGCGTCGTCTGGTGGCCGCCGGCCGGCCTCTGGGCCACCCGCCCTCGTTCCGCCCCGCCGGCCTGCCCACCCTGTTCGGCGTGTGCGTCTACTCGTTCATGTGCCACCACTCGCTACCCTCGCTCATCACGCCCATCTCAAACAAGAGTCGTATCACAGGTGAGCTGATCCGACCGGCCGGGCAGTGACGACACGTTGTGAAGGCACTTTTCTGGTGTCAACGACGAGTCTATGTGTTAACTTATGCGGTATGTCTCCCACTATACAACTTTATATTAGGTAGCTTCATTGTCATTAACAGCTTTTAGATGTATGCCGTATTCAGCTGGGTCTACGTATTGTAAATGACCCAGAATAAGCCGACTCTTCCAAACTGTCTACGGTTGCTGACATTGCTCGCTGCTGTAATTGTTTATGTTCGAACCTACGCCTTTCGTCTAATATTACCCCGTCTGACCCGTTCTGTCGCTCGCTCCTACAGCGCTTCTGGCGGCTGACTACGTCCTGATCCTGGCGTTCTACCTGCTGCTGGCCTTCACCGGCATCTTCGCCTTCCCGTCGCTGTACGACTTGTACACCCTGAACTTTGTCCCCTGCGACGAGGGTCAGAGCATCGGCTGGTTCGAGGTTCGTACTTCTTACAACACCGAGCATTATTGAAACCGCACTGATTGTGTTCATCTGAAGTAGAATTGATGTACGGTTTGTGTCCTCCCGATTGGAAATGCGTTTAAGTGGCCATCATTTACTGCGTATTTGATTGCTTTTCAATGAGATATTCTCATATACCATGAGTATTATTATAATTAGACGAACCCCCACTGCTTCAACATTTTTTATCGCTCTTTGTCCGCGACTCTTGGTCATTTTGCAATTCGCTGTGCCTGACCCGGCAGACCCTGACGTCAACCTGTTCGTCCCGTTACAGCAACTGCTGGACTACTTCCTGTCCATGTTTCCGGTGTTCACGCTGTCGACCAACTTCCCCATCATTGCCATCACGCTGCGTAACAACCTGCAGACACTGTGTCTGACCGAGGGCCGGCGGCACGGCGTGTTCGTGCGCCGCCTGCTGTTCCCGCTGCTGGCCCTCCTGCCGCCCGCCGTCGTGGCGCTCGGTAAGGACGGGGATCGGCCAGCACGGGAAGAGACGAGGGGAGATGTAGCGACTAGCGAGGGCTGTTAACTAACGTTCAGCATCGTGTCCTTTTGATAGTTGCACTGAATTTGCAATGTCTGTCGTCCCGTCTTGCTGCGGTTCGCCAGCATCTGCAAATATTTAACACTCGTGTCATGCGCCTTTATTCGAGGACTGTGCCCTACGCTATCATGTCCCCTATCATACTAATTTTTCTCCAGAACCTCCAACTGTGTCCTAACCTCCATCATGCCCCTGCCGCGCTGCAGTCATGAACCTCTGTGCCCTAACCCGTGTCCCCTACCGCTCTGCAGTGTTCCAGGACCTGCAGATGCTGGTCGGTATCACGGGCAGCTACGCCGGCTCCGGCATCCAGTACGTGGTGCCGGCCCTGCTGGCGTTCTACTCGCGGCGCACGACTCTCACCCTGATCGGAATGGGCGTGCGCAACAAGCACAGCAGCTGGTTCCAGCACACGGGCTGGGTGGTGTTCGTGCTGCTCTGGGCCGCCGTCTGCGTCATCTTTGTCACCGTCAACCACCTCGAGGACTGGTTCGGGTTCTAGACCCGCCGCCGCCGCCGTCCGGAGGGTATAGTTGAGGAATCGGGCCGGCCGGCTCAACCCCGAGGAGCTTTCAGTAAACATGGTGACAATGTATGGGGTCCTGGTTGTATTCTGCCGGATTTAGGTTGTATTACAGGTTGCAGTGTTTTCGCGGATTGGGCATGCCGGGGTGAATGTCCACACCAATACTCGAATTATGAGGGTTTAGGAGTTCTAAAATGATGCCAAGGTGGGGTAATGTTTGTCCTTTGGTAGGGACTGTACGTATTTCCAGTGCCACTGGCAACCCCTGGGGAATTCGAGCTCCTATTTATATTGGTGTTCCGGTAACGTATCTGTAGAGCGAGGCTGTTCGAGGTTAGTCACATTCCTCCTGAAGACGCACGTCATGTTAACGTTCTTAGATGCCACCTGCGTCTGTTTTAATATGCCGTAATTAACAACCGACCATAAGCGCTTTTCAAGCATAAAAGCAATGTACTGTTATACTCGTATACCTAAATGAGGCTTGCATGGGCCTCGCGTCTCATGCGCTTTATTCCATCTCTTGTGAGTTAATCAAACATTCGTTTATGCTTCCACGTATAGATGAAACTAGAATCTGTACACGAGCGTTGCATGACGTTATTGAGTTTAGTGTGTGAACCAATTTGTCTGTGATGTCAACTGATTTGTCACATATTTAATGAGATTACCCTATGAGTGACGCGCTATGAAGCTACTTGCCACAATCGTTGATAACCAGCTGTTATACGAGCTAAAGGCGTGCGGCGTACCTACTATTAATGTCACAGCGACAGCCGCAATCTCAACTTTGTTCGTCGTACGGCATAGAGCGTGCCAAGTCACACTAGTTATGTGTTGAATCGCCGTGTCCTGTTGTGGACTTCTGGAAGTATGCCCGCTCCCCAGTGCTTCGCGACAGCACAGGACCGAGCTAGCTGGGCCCTGTTTTAGCGCATGACGCTACCTGAAGATACCGGGTATTGACGCTCAGTTTTCTTGGGAAGGTACGCAGAATCACATAGTTTTCCTACGTTTCCATGGAAACGAGCGCCAATGCCTGGTAGCGTCAATTAGTAGCTTCATGCTGGCTGATTCAGGGCCCAGGACCACTTGGTGGTACACGGTGCGTTGGGAGATGACCACTAGTCAGTCATGCGTGACACAGAGGGTTAGATGCCACGGCCCTCGCTGCACATTTATCGGTTTGCCCTGAACTACGTACGATATTATATTAGGTCGGAAGGCATTTGACCAAACTAGACGAACGTGGACTTAATGTGGTAGTGGATGTCGGGATGTACTGTACATACAGAGTCGGGCATAGCTCATGATATTGCTCCCTGCTTCGGACTGCGTTATAACGTTCCTGGGTGTCGGACATGAGGTTTGTGTGAGTGGGTTGGTGGGCTCTGACGCCGGACAGGCCGTACAGTGCCGCCCGGTTGTCTCTGTGTGTCGTGTTTTGGGCAGTGTGAACGCACCTTGGTGACATTGCTGAGGGGCAAGATTACTTTGCTGAGGGGAACCTATCCTATATCCTGTGAAGGGAGGCGAAGGAAAGGAGACCAACGGCCCTATCCGATGTTGGAGGTCCTTGCGTCACCGCCGCCGCCACTAACCAGCTCGTCGATACGCAGTGTTGTGTTGCCTCACAGGTTTTGTGCTGTTCTGCGATGGTTGAAGCGCCTGGTGATGTAAGAAATATATTGTACACGGATCTGATCGATTGTTTTCTTGAAAATGATTAGTGTAAGTGGATTTAGTTTCTCCTGAGAACCACTAGCTGCGTGAGACGCCAGAGTTGGGCGAAGCACAAACCAAGATAATCACAGCAATATACAGTATTACGACAACGCGTTTTTGCCCGTGAGAAAAAAAGATCGTGTTAACATTTAAAAAACGAACATTTTATCGTCGCGCTAGGTTCCATTTCGGTGGGATGTGTCGAAAGTGTTACAAACGCTAACGAGTGGAAGAGGTGCTTCTGCTTCAGTGTGAACGAACAGGTGGGCTTGGAACACTTGTTGAGCTAGGTACCATGAAACCCAACAAACAATAAAAACTGATAAATTTCATCTATTCAACTCTTCACACTCCGATCCTCGCTCACGGATAATATGTTAAACACGATCTATTTACAAGTCGGCACATAGTGACGCCAGAAACAGATCTGGGAAGCGGGCGCCGCGTAAAATCGACCGAACAAAACACTCGCGTCTGCGTAGCCGACCTTCAAACAAATTTGGTGAAACAAGAATACACATGCCGTCCTCGGCGGAAATTTCCCCATCGTTGACGCCCACACCGTTCGCGGTAGACACCTCGTGCCCCGGCCTTCGGCAGCGTCTCGGGTTCGTCCGGCACCGCGCCACGACACCACCAGGTCCCTCGCCCTGCTGCGAGCGCGCACCACTTAGGCCACGTACGTGTACACTTTGCGGTCCTCCTGCGTGCGAGCCAGATACTCCTTTTCGATGAGCCCCTCGATGCGCTTCTTGATGACCACCGGCGACGGCAAGAAGCGGGACTTGAGCTGCTCAGTGACCTCGGCCACGAGCACGTTGTGCTGCAGAGTGCGGCGGGCCTTCATGATACGCACCACGGCCGCCTCGATCTCGTATTTGCGGTCCTCGTCCACTTTGCTGCGTGTCTCGCGCCGCTCGGGCTCCGACTCGCCCTTCGCCACGCCCAGCTGGATCTTGACGCGATGCAGCTTTGATGTGAAGGCGTCGTTCACGCTGAAAGCATGGCTGGGCTCTATTTCCTTCGTCTTGGGCTGCTTGACAAGGATGCGCTGTGTGGGCTTTCCGACAGCCAGCGACTGGAGGGCGCGCGTCAGATCTTTTTCCGGTATGTTGGTCTCGTTACGGATCTCCTCGTAGGTCAGACGCTCACGGTTGTTGAAGAGCATGAGGATGCTCATCTGGAAGGTGGAGACCTGGATGATGTGCCGGCGGGGACTGCGCGTGCCGGCCGCCAGCAGTGCCGAGTTGGAGCCGCCAGCCACAGCCAGGTCGGTGGACGAGTCGTCCGACTTGAACGGACCGTAGAAGACGGCGTTCAGGTCCGCGGAGCCCAGCTGCGCCTGCAGCGTCAGCTGCCGCCCCGTGTGCTTGGCCAAGTAGAACTTGCGGAAGGTCTCGAAGGCGGCCGCCGGCGCTCGCGGGATCTCCACCTTGATGTTTCCAGAGTGGGTGGGCCAGAAGCCGGTGGTCAGCACCCGGACTGTCAGGTCGACGCCGAACGGGTTGGCACCACCCGACTGGATGTGCTGCTTAAACTCCTCCATGATGGTGTTCGAGACTGTGATGTCCTTGAACATGCCTTCCAGCTTGGATGTGAACTGACATCCACATTCTGTCCTTAGCTTGGAGATCATGTTCTTCTCGTTGTCATCACTTGCTGACTTGTTGAGAAGCAGCCTCTTGGCCAGGTGCTGCTTGTAGTAGCGCTCGAAGACGTCTTTTTCCTGGAGGAACCGGAAGATGACCATGGTCTTGTCCAAAATGGCCTCAATCTCCTGTTCTGTGACGCCCTTAGCCCCCTTCTTCAGCCTGTCATCAATGAACAGAGACAGGTACTCAGGGGACTTGTTGTTCAGGTTCAAGAAGTACTCAAAATCTGAGGCAATGCGCTGTTTGACCATCTTGTCCTTGTTGAAAGAGTTTTTCAGGAAGTGATCAAACACATCCCTTAGGTCTAGCAGGCTCTGCACATATGTGATGGCATTCTTCCCACCATATGCAGGATCTTCTGCTACCAGTGCCCTACCCTGTTCCCTCAGGTAGGTAGAAACACAGTCAGCCAGAGTCTTCAGTCCATCTTGTACCCTAGACAAGAGCTTGTACATGCATGCCAGGTCATCTGTTTTCTGTTGTTTCAGCATGTGGACCACACCAGAGTTTTCTATCTCGACGATCGTCTTCATGTGCTTCTTGATCAGTTCCTCTTCCACCACCTCCACAATACGAGCCTCTGTTGACTCATCAAGGTAGTGAGATGCTCGCTCTGCCTCTTCATTTATGCGTGCTTCCACTTTCCTGATGTATGCTGATGCAGAGTTTTCAGCCAGGAAGTTTTGACTCTCCATTCTGTAGAACTCAGCAGACTGCTGAAGGAATGGCCTCTCAAAGTCTTCCTCATACACAGCCCTGCTGTCCACACCAAGAACCATCAGCATGCTGCATGCATTCTTCACTGCCAACTTGTCAATCACCTCTCCACGCCTCTCTCTCATGACCATCTTGAGAAGTGTTTCCCTCAGGTGATCTCTGATGCCACCATATCTGACAATCTGGTCCCTGAACAGAATGAGTCCCAGGTTGAACACATTGTCCACATTGTTCTGCTGTACATAAACTCTGTCCATGTACATGAGGATATCTCTGATCATGATCATTGATGTCTTGTGGTCATGCCACGCTTGATTGAGGGTTGCCAGGAAGTTGTTGTTCAACGATTTTAGCACATCCCCTCTAACTTTGGTCTCCAGATGCTGAGTTACAACATCTCTCAGTCCAGTGTACAAACGCTCACCATGTTTGTGAAGAACCATGGTGTATGCATTTCTGTACAGCTCTTCAAAGCTCAATCCACTGTTGTTCTTTTTCTGGATTTCTTGGATGGCATTCTTGAGGATATTCCAGATACCCTCCACATACCTTTCATCCATGGTCATCGGAAATGCTCTGATCCGCATCTTGGCGTCTTTCTTGGGTTGTGTCCGCTGCATCACAACTGGCTGTTTTTAGTATCAGTGAATGATAAAGCACACATACACTGCTACAGATGAATCTGCCTCCAGACTCAACGCTTCCTTTCACAGACTTCTAAATGCTCGCTGTAACTTCAGTTTCTGTTTCAGTCTCATAACGAGCGCATGATAACAAACGCAAGAAGTGGAGCAGAAACTTGACTCTTCAATAGATGTAAGTTATAAATTGTAGCTGACAAATCTAAAGAATAATATCGACTGCAACGACTCCACCTACACCACCACCAAATGATTATTTTTTCGTGTTTCTTGGTGTTTGTCAATTGATCCTCTGCTGGCATTGACCAAGGTTTTAACAAAACTAAAACTGCCTCTTGAAATGTAAATTACGATTTATACAAATATGAAGGCATTTTTTGAATTTTATGCATTTACTCATTGATTGTTAATTTTAACATTTGTGATTGAATAATGAAATTGATTTTTAAGCATTAAAATTACTTTTTAATATTGATTTTTTGGAAATATACGTCATCGTTTTCTGTCAGAATTGTCTCTTATGCGCCATCTGAGGAAAAATCGCATGGCTTCAATAGCTAAGCTCAAAACAGTTCACAAAACATTTCAAGTGTTGAGTTCGCAATCTCAAATTGCGATATTATTATTTTGATTTACGATTGTGTTACAGGTACAAGACCCAGCTTTTCCTTATATTGAAATTCGAATAATAAATAATGTGTTAAGTGCATGGATCCGAGAAAATGGATCTGGGATCTGATCCTATGGATCCTCTTACCTGGTACTCTTACTCTTACCTGGTGGGGCTCCTTCTGCTTCGCAGCCGGTAGTAAGGACTGGAGCAGGAGGAACCCGGATAGGATCAGGACACGCCAGTCACAGTCTCCCCACGATGATGTCCTGTAGATATGGCCAGATGACTGGAAAGTGTGTGTCCTCGTGGTATATGCCATTGGAAAACAACACTTATCGGTATGTTTGCACAAATATCGCGAGTCAGATGTAGTCGTACAATGTGTTACCTAGTGCCTGTGCGAGAAGTCGTTTGAAAGACGACAGATCTGAAGCGGCCACCACGGCCTCTGGCAAACTATTCCAGATAGCCACCCGACGATCTTGGATCAGGATCCGACAAGATCATAGATCCAAAAACGTTCTGTTTTGGTGATTTTATATGATCACACATCATATTCCATAGTGTTGTGGCGCTTATTGACTTGGAAACAATTGGAAACCTGGTTTTAAATGTTGTGCATGTCAGGATCCACTCACATAATAGATCAATGTTCTTGCTTTATCATCAGATTGAGATCCCATGAAATCATAAATCCAGGGTAAATTTGTTGTACCTGATCTGGTGATATCATAGCTCCTAACCCCGGAACCTGCAGAAAAGTTGTTTTTCTATCGCCATTTTGAGTGAATTTGTCGAATTTGATCAAATCATGACCATGTTGATTCCTAGTGGAAAATGGAAGCCTTTTCTCTGTGATAAGTGGACGCGATACTGCAAGTACCATCTTATACCGTTTTTCACCCTTAGTAGCGAGGGCTGCATTTATGCCCATATATAGTCATCAAAAGTCTATTATTGACCAATCCATTTTTGGATCTTCGCCTTGTAGTTTCCCCAACTGAAGTGTCCATCCTTTCAATTTCAATCAAGAGCTCAAGCTGGGTTTGGAGAGTCATCTAGAAGAATGGGCAGCTAGACTGTGTTTCATGGTCTGCTGTTGGCCACAAATCGAATGTTTTGTGAGCTAACAGCATGCCTGATGGGTTGTGGTCATAGGTTGGGTCATGCGACTAATGTCTGGTCACAGCTTTTCATTAGCTCTTGAAGCACAGTAGTTTACAAAAGTGATCCATAGCTGTGAAACAGAGCTCAAATCCTGCCCTAATTACTTTTCAGCTGTCTGGTTTTAAGGTAGTGCCCCTGCCTCCAGATTCATAAATTATGGCTGAGCCCAGGCAAGGAGTTTAAAAAGTAGCTTGAATGTTTTAATTTATGGATTGGCAGCCGGAGTCAGGAGTGCAGCACAGGCTGAGCAGCTGGGCATGTTGTGCAGCATTCACTCAGCCTGTTCAATCAGAATATGGGAGTGCTGAGATGTCAATTTTCAGCATTTTCATCAAATTTATAAACAAGTAACCTCTCTTACTTAACAAACTTCATTCTTCAACCCAGGCCATATATGAGACTTCTTCTGGATGTGGCTGCTGAAACCACATTGTCATACTTCATACTCAAAACCATACTCAAACCAAGCCCAGACCATACTGATTCCTTTAATGATCCATTGTCTTATACTGGGCACCAGAGCAGCCCAAGTCTTGGCTCTCACCACCAAAAATTTGATTTCATTGTTGCACCTACCAGCTGAGCTATGCTAAAGGCTCATTATCTTGCTGGCAGAGTCTCATCACCTGTACAGTGTACAATTCAGCATGATAAGTACCATGATCTTGCCACTTCTGATCAATGTTACCAACACAGTGCTCTTTCATAATTGGTGTTGATATGGGTGCCAATGACCCTTGCAGTCTAGGCCCTGGGGACCTAAAGAAATTATTGTATTTGATACCGACACTAAAGACAATGTCTACTTAATCTTGCTCCCGATGTTTCTTCACAGGTGATGAAGTCAAGATGGATGGTAGTAAGATGCAGGCAGTTTTGCTCCAGCTCCCTCTGATTGAAAATGAGAGGGAGAGATTGAACACCTACTTGGATAAAATAATTGAAAGAGTGAGGAGTCTCATATGTTGCATGTTGCTGTGCAAAATGTTTGTTAGCTGTATCCTTTGCAGCTCAATGTAGTTATGTGTGTTTGCCTGTAGGACGAACAAATTGTGTGCAGATTAAGCATCCATAAAACTCAATGTCTTTGTGTATAGTGTTGTGGACTGCTGTTCTTTAGAGTGCTAGAGAGTGTTCCACCTGCTGATTGTGCCCTGTCATCCACAGACAAAAAGGCTCAGCGCCAACCCAGCAGCAGCGAGAAGCCTGAAGCGCGAAAATGCTGAGCTGCTATGCCAGCTCACAGAATGGGCTGACTTGCTCGAGGATCATATAGCCTCGCATCAGTCGCCGTCACCCGCCGACGCGCCGCCGGGTCCCCCGAGCGTCGCCCCCAGTCAGTCGAGGACGGCCCGCTCGACAACTGACCTGAATGCCACGCTGGAGTCTGCCGTATCGTTCCACACGGCGGCGGCAGGCGGCGGCTCGGTGGCGGCTGGCGGCGGCTCGATGGGACCGGGCGGCGGCTCGGTGGCGGCTGCGGGCGGCTCAGTGGGGCCGGGCGGCGGCTCGGTGGCGGCTGGCGGCGGCTCAGTGGGGCCGGGCGGCGGCTCGGTGGGACCGGGCGGCGGCTCAGTGCGACCGCAGTCCCCTGTCAGTCGCGGCAGCACCACCGAGAGGCCCCAGCGGTGAGTGTCGACGGGCGCCCATCCGGCTGCTGGTGTTGAGCACGTGAAACTTCGGTATAGATCATCATTGGTGTCCTTGCAGTAAATTGCGGTAATTACCTCAAAATATTCCTTTTCGAGTCATTTATTATGTCTCGATGAGGCTATGGTAATCAGAGCTCAGACAAAGTTCCATGGCAACCAGTTTTGAGAGAAAAAAAAGCGTAATACAGGCGTGTAAGTGTCATATTCATTTTTCGTTGCAAGGCACACATGGGCTGGTATAAGCAATACTTCATTTTTTTTGTTTTTCACTACATTGACCTGAGGTTGAATGTCAATATTAACCTTACAGCATAAATTTTTGCATTGCTCGATGTGCCTTAACGCGCGCAAGCACTGGCCATTCTAGCATCCTCGACTGTTGGACGAGGAGGGTGGCTGCGGCCCCTTGTGCCTGTCCGTCAATTAAATTGGATCTTAACAGAAGAGTAAATGTGATGCACTGCACTTCACAAATAAGAGAAAGCCAACGGCTCCCAATTTTGAATTTTCATGTCATCTAATGATGTTATTCCGTGGCGAACAATTCACCGCAATTATCCATGGCCTGGTGATATATTTGTTACGAGCGAGCGAGCGCAGCGAGCGAAGCGAGTCTTTTCAATATAACGGAAAAATCTCAGTATGAGCGGCCCGTCCCGGCCCGGCCTGTAACGCTTTTGAGAGGCTTATATCTCAGCAACCGCTGGACCGATTGGCCTGCGGTCTTTTTTCCTGGGTAGCCCCATCCCTTCTACCCCGTAATTGACTACTTTTGATGCATCTCAGTGACCGTCGTGGTCGTGGCACGTGACACGTGAAAAGTCAAGGGTGTTCAAGCTGTTTTGCAAAAGTAGTGATTTTGAGATGCTCATATCTCAGCAGCTGCTTGGGCGATTGACTTGCGGTAATTTTTGTAGGGTAGCAACATCCCTGCTACCAAAAATAGGATACTCTCGATGCATGTGGGTCACCCCCACTGCACGTGCAAAATACAACAATAAGAGGTGTCAAATTTGTTCCCATTTTAATAACTCGGTAATTACTGGGGCGATTTCGCTGAAACTTGGCATACCGGTAGGCATCCACCAGGTAATGCATTCCCATGTGTTGCGGTTAGGGTGCTACTGCACGTGCGCACGTGCAGGGGGCGCTTCCAGATCTCGAGAACGGCTGGGCCGATTGCGCTCAAATTTGGTACACGGTTGAGGACCAGTTTGTAGGGTGCCGTGCAAAAGTCAGTTTGGACCCCGTTTGCACGTGCGCACGTGCAGAATGCCGCTTCCAGATCTCAGGAACGGCTGGGCCGATAGCGTTCAAATTTGGTACACCGCTAGCGACCGGTTGGAAGGGTGCTTTGCACAAGCCCGTTGGAAGTACCCTCTCGCCCTTCCGCACGTGCAGGGCTCACTATCTCGCTCGCTCGTTCTTCGCCCAAAAGGCGTTTTACTGGTGGTAAAATATGAGTAAAATACTCTCATATCTCAACTGTTTGTTTGTAAATGTGCTACTATCAGGCGCGGATCCAGCGGGGGGCGGCGGGGGCGGCCGCCCCCCCCCCTCCATCCGAAAAGGCGCCCATAGCCCGCGGCAGAGAGGGCGCCCCGAGCAGAAGAGCGGCGACACAGCAAAGGTTGATGAGAAATAGGCCGCCTCCAGCAGAAGTTGGGCTCACCAAGCAGGAGAGCGACGCCCAATTGCCCATTCCCAGCAGATGAGAATCGCCCCAGCAGCAGATGGGCGCCCGCAGCAGAACAGGGGCGTCTTATTACAAGAATAAAAAGATACCTTCTGTTCACGAGGGGCGCCCCTGGCAGCGGAAGGGCACCCCAGCAGGAGAAAGCACCCCCGAAGAGGAGCGACGCCCCAGCAACCGGAGAGAGGCCGCAGCAACATTCCGAGAGGAAGAGGGGCGCCCTGACAGCAGATCGGCGCCCCAGCAAAAAACGAGCCCCATAAGAAGAAAATGGGTGCCACTGGCAGAAGAGGGGCGCCCCCGGCAGCGGAAGGGGCCCAGCAGAAGACAAGGGTCTCCAGCAGGAGAGGGGCGCCCAACAGAAGAGAGGCGCCACAGCAAAAGTTGATCAGAAATAGGGAGTCTCCGGCAGAGGTTTGGCTCGCCAAGCAGGATAGGGGCGCCCCATTGACAATATCCGGCAGAAGAGAGTTGCCCCGGCAGCAGATGGGCGCCCCAACAAGCAGCAGTCGTTGGGCGCCCCCAGTAGAAGAGGGGTGCCTCATCACAAGAAGAAAAGGAGTATATTCTGCACAAAAGGGGCGCCTCTGACAGCGTAAGGACAGTCCCAGCAGAGGGGCAGTACCCCAGAAAAAGGAGAGTGGTGCCCCACTCCGAACAAAAGAGGGTGCCCCAGGAAAAAAAGAGGAGCCCCATAAGAAGAAAATGGGTGCCGCTGGCAGAAGAGAGACGTCCCCGGCAGTGGAAGGGCGCCCCCAGAAGAGGCGTCTCTAGCATAAGAGAAATGCCCTCTGCAGGACAGGGGCACCCCAGCAAAAGTTGGACAGAAATGGGGCGCCGGCCAGCAGAATTTGGGGTCGGCCAACAGGAGAGGGTCGCCCGGTCGCCCCATTCACAGTAGAAAAAGGGACTCCCCAGCAGCAACGGGGCGCCCTAACAGAACAGGGACACTCCAAGTAGAAGTGTGACGCATCAGGAAGAAGAGGGGCGCTTCTACAGAAGATGAGCGTCCCAGATAAGTGGGTTGCCTACAGCAAATTGGTCGTTCTTAGAAGAAATGAGGCGACTCAAGCAAAGTGGTCCTCCACATGAGGGATTGGGCGATCCAAGCAGAGGTTGGGCGCCCCCAGCAGAGGTGAGGCAAACCAGCATAAGTGAGACGCTTCCAGAAAAAAAGAGGGCCATCACTGGGAGAAGAAGGATGCACCAGCAAATGGAGGCCACCTGTTCGCTAATATTTTATTTTGCTAACGTAGCGGCGTCCATCTACGACTTATAACCCGCGCCATGCTGGTGGTCTGAGTTTTCCGCGTCGTGCTGGGGGAAGGGGAGGTCACGCCTCCTCGTCTAACTCGGCTCCTAGGTCGCGTAGCAACACGCGGCAAGCGGTTTTCTAGGTTAGGTCAAATAAGGTCAGGTCACCAAAGGTCATCAAAGGTAAAATGTTGCTTATTTCAACATTTTTCGAAACAATGGCACATAGCTCGGAAACCAATAGAGCTATAGTGCCGCGGTAAAGCGCATTCCATAGCCCTTTCAAATGTGTTTCTGTAAACTGCCCTCAGAATTGACCTCTAGTCAATGGTTTAGCCTCCAGAGGGCAACAACTCTAAAAATAGGAGTTTTACGAACAATATTTTCCTGCAATAGCTTTTGACTCAAGAGAGTCTCGACATAACGTTTACCAGCGTCGCGTTTCTGTCGTCGAGACGCGTCGAAAGGACTATAGGATGACCTTGAAAGGTAATTTTGAGAATTTGACCTGAGGTCAAGGTCATGACCTCACCGAGAAATGTCATGGTGCATATCAGTCGATCCGTATCGTCGAGCTGAACACAACTGAGGTGTTTTTATCGTTCTAGCATGTATCTATTAAAAGTTATTATCAAAAACTGTTGTTGACCTTTCATGACCTGAGATGACCTGTGGGACATAATGAATGGTCACAGGTGCAATTTTCTTATTCAGTTTGTTAATTTTACATGTATCCTAATGCTTGCGATTGTCTAGAATGGCGCTCGTCCAAAAGAGATGCCTTTCAGTTGCCTCCCATAAACTTACTATGGACGTCAAACCCCTTGAGACCCCACTTTTTTGCGATAATTTTTAAATGCGTCAACTCTTGTTGACAATATTCTGGCAATTTGTGTTTCAGAACCTGCCGAAACTTTTATTACTAAGGTATTTTGACGCCAAACGATTATGAAAGGTACTTCTCATTCACTCGTAATGCTAAGATCAATTCAGGCCCGGGCAGAGGCTTGCGCTCGGCCACACTCGAGCCCCGCCACCAGCGCCATCTGCTCTTAATGTCATCTACCAGCGCCCGCTACCGCTACCAGATACCGCCCACCATCAAGCCTGAATGGAGCGAGAGACGCGAGTGACCGGTCGCCGGGCAAGGAGCGCCGGAGGGGTAGGGCGGAGCTTAGCGCTGACGTCATTACGTGGCTCCACCCCATGAGCGCGTAGCCTCTACCCAAACAGCAGATTCGTTCCGTGAAATTTAACATTACGAGCGAATGAGAAGTACCTTTCATAATCGCTTGGCGTCAAAATACCTTAGTAATAAAAGTTTCGGCAGGTTCTGAAATCTGAAACATACATTGCCAGAATATTGTCAACGAGAGTTGACGCATTTAAAAATTATCGCAAAAAAGTGGGGTCTCAAGGGGTTTGACGTCCATAGTAGCTACCTATACCTAATGGAGATTGGAAAGGTCGCAAAACTGACCTGACCTTAGCTCACAAATATCAAAATTCCGAGATATAAATTTCATGAATATTTTTGCTTTCATCAATCGCTGACAGTTTCAAAGCGACCGATCAGTCGGTATAGCAACGGTGAGCATTTTAACTTTCTGGGGTTAGGTCACTTGGCATGACCTGGTGACCTGCCGTTGCACGACCCGGGTCTGACATTTATACAACATGTGCAGAAAAGATGCATGATAAGGTGTGCTAAAAACGGCGGCGCTGCGCACAGCTGTTTTTCAGATATTTGCGAAAAACCTGAGGGGGAGCATGACAACGTCCCCCAGCACGGTGCGGGTTTGACTACTCTCTATTTTGACGACGGTTTGGCGCCCCTTCGTATGAAGCGCCCCCAGATTGCCAAGTCGCAGTGCTGCGACTTGTCAAAATAGTCAAAATAGGGCTATTTTGACTTGCCGCGCCCCTCCCGAAAATTCCTGGATCCGCCCCTGGCTACTATATAGTAGTGTAGTGGTTATATAGTTAGCATACTAGTTAGTAATTATATAGTTAGTGAAGTAGTTAAAGTATATACATAAAGTAGCTTTAGATTCTTTGCTCATTGTGCTGTGGTGCCTTCGCAGCACTCCCGATCCGCACAGTGATTGCACGCGGACTGCGACTCTGGAGACGCCGTCACCGCCGCCGCCGCACAAGACCTGCCCCTCCAAGATCTCCAACAGTGAGGTGTCCTCAATTATCAATCGCCACCTGCTCAAGAAAAGTTTCGGACCTGAAAGTCCGAAAGAAGTGGTGCAAAGGTGAGCGATGTTGCGTTGTCTGCCAATTTGCTTCATATTTCACTCAGTAAGCCGTATTTTGTGCGGTCACGGCCTCACTCTGTCACACGGGCTGTGCGTGTTCACCGTTCTCTGCTCCTGTGCCCGGCCACGACCTCTCACTCTGCCGTGCTGGCAGCGCCTACTCGCCGTTCACGCTCCATGTCAGACCGCCCACTCTGCCGCGCCGGTTCTTCTGTCCACCGCTCACTCTGTCCCCGGTTTTGCCAGGCCGCCGCCGCTGGGTGTCGAGACCAGGGTTGTGTTTTCATTTCACGACGAGGACACCGGTTACACCTACCTGAACCTGTGGGAGGATACGGACTCGCTGGCCAAGCTGGCAGGGGATCTGACGTGAGTATATGCCAGACGCTAATGCCTCGTAAACCGCGCCCGTAAGCCGCAATAAACTCCAAAAGATGGCCTTATCATACTTTTTTGTATGCCTCTTGTGGTCAGCGTCTTTTTTGTTAGGTACGTTTAGTTGATAACAGGCGATGATTATGCCTTTGGACTGTTATAATATCAGGTTGTCTACCATAAATTGCTCCAGTTTCGATGTGTCACCGCGGTGAATCGCCAACTCTCTTCCCCCTGTGATGATGTCTTTTAGGGAGCTGGCGCTCCACCCGGCGCGGATGTCGCGTCTCCCCAAGCAGGGAGAGCTGGTGATCGCCGCCTGGAAGGGCGCCTGGTACCGCGCCAGGGTGACGGACGTGTTTGACAAGTGAGAACACAAGTATTTTATTTTATTTTAAAATGATCTTCATATAATACGTCTTGCTTAAAGGTAGTGTGCCACCTTTGAAAGATTTCCCATTTTATTTTTCCTAGGATAAGAAGCTTCTGTTTTTACATAATATCGCAAAAAAATGGGCCTGGAATAGTGCCTTTTTCGCCTAAAAGTTTATCGGTTTTTCGATATGTATAACAACTGTAGTGGGCTGACCTGCAAACAGGCGTCGGCAACAATCGCGAATGCGGCGCACATGTGACAATAAGCAAAGATCATTATAGAGTTACGACGTACGGGAATGAGTTATCAGCTGTCTAATCGTAGACAACACATTGTCGAGCCTTAAACTGTAAGCCTGTATTGGTATTGTTTCTTTTAATTGGCTGTCGAACATTATTTATGGTTTGAAATATGATTTTATGTAAAATAATTGATATGAAAAAGCCGTCTCTTAAGTTATGACCCCATTTCACCACACGCAAGTGGCAGAACTGACAATGATCAGCTGACGCATTTTTCTTGGCCGAACTCAGAGCGCGCGGCCCGACGCACCACCACCGCACCACAAAGTATGAGCAGAAGCCGCGCCCAAAGCCAGGGCCCCGGTAACGTGAGGTAGCCGAGTCGGGGCAGCGTGCGCTGACCCAAGCCGGGGCCGCAGCTTTGGGCGCGGTCTACCGCATCCCCGCGGGCAGCCCCGGGCTATCACATGACACCGGGAGGACGCGCGGCCCCGGCTTGGGTCAGCGCACGCTACCCCGACTCGGCTACCTCACGTTACCGGGGCCCTGGCTTTGGGCGCGGTCTACCGCACCACCTAACAGGCGTGTTCGAAACCGCAGGAGATGATGATGAACGGGTTTATCGAAACTTGATTGGATGAGCATATCGGTAATAGCGATTTCAGTGTGTGCATTTATTGTTCATAGTGGTGTGAAATGTGGTTGGGGTACGACCGACAACCCGTCGGGGCGAATTTCGCACTGGGGTACTCAAAATTTGAAGAATTTAAGACGTTTCCATGAGTTTTGAAGGTATGGATAAGTTCTAAAAATCCGGTTCTCCTTATCTGGGCCATTAACTCCATACGGTCCAGGAAAGCTGGCACACTACCTTTAAGCTTCACGGCTCAGTTCATTTATGTCATCATAGCAACCATTTTTTTTTTTAGCTGTATTGCGGAGTTAAATGTTTAGTAGAGTTCCTACCTTCCGTTTTGTTTTCTAAGGGCTCCGTAACCCCGTGCGGCACTGTTACATCGCCTTCCCTACTAACCGTCCCGCTCGCGTCCCGGCCGTAGGGGCGACATGAACTCGATGGTGGCTCTGCAGTACATCGACTACGGTAACAGCGAGCACCAGCCGGTGGGACAGCTCCGCTTCCTGCCTGACAAGATGAAGGAGGCGCCCGCCGCCGCCTACAAATGCAAACTGGTCAACGTGAGTACAGAACTGTCTATTGATGATTCTAGCCGCTCGTTTTTTTTTAACTCGGCAAAATGGGCGTTGTTTGAGCTTTGCCCACTTGGCTGCTGTTTTCATTGAATTATAATGTTATATTTTGTTTTCGTATTAGCTCGCGTTCGGTATTATTTATAAATTTATCAAGACGCTAAACCTATATCTAGTCAACTGAATTTGATGCCCTAGCTGCGGAATCGTTAAACAGTCGATATCAAGCACGCTGCCCCCCTCCCCATCTCTGCCCGCCGCCCATGTCTACCCACTCTGACCACCCTCCCCCTTTTTCATCCCCACAGCTGAAGGTGGGCGGCGAGTCGCACTGGCCACTCCAGCGGCGCCTGCTGCTGGCGCTGGCCGACGGACCCGAGTGTCGTCTGAGGGCCGTGCTGCGGCGCTCGCAGCTGCCAGACCTGTACGAGGCGACCCTGATCTCGGGCGTCACGGTCGGTTCCGAGCCCATGCAGGTGGACGTGGTGGCTACCCTGAATGCGGCGCTTCTGATCAACCCAGCCGCCGCTGCCACACAGGTTAGATGGTTGGGTAGTCTTGTGAGATAACAGGGCAGACGGTGGGGTAGTCTGCGTGAGATTGGGCAAGTTAGACGGTAAAGAAGCTGGGAGGTGGGGCAGGGTAGACGATGGGGCAGTTTGGGGGATATTGGGCGGGTCAGGTGGTGACGCGGCTCACGGCTGGAACGGTAACCTGAGAGAGAATGTTAGGCTGGTTAGATGTTGGGATGGCTTGTGCTGCAATGCAGGTGAGCCGGCGTTAGTTTTGACAATATTCGAGCGGCACCACCGACCTTAGGGGGTGGGTCGGTGAGTGACTGAGATGCGTGTAAACTGTGAACGACTTACTGTGTATGATGGAGGGAGGGAGGAACGATCACCGGCACCATTGAATGCTGTCATTGTGATGGCGAAGATGTGTAAATGTTTCCTGGATAGAACTATCTCATAATGGCTTGACTAATGCAAAATAAGTTTCGAAATTGAAGCGATAACATGCCTATATTCGCTATGCATACTCGTAGCCCCCCAAATCCCAATAATAAAACACATTCTGTCTCGTTGTTTATGATCTATACTTTGCACCATCCCTTGCCCAATAGCTCTCAGGGCCTTTTGTGCTGGAGCCGTGACCGTGGGTCAGTCAGACCTCCCGGTAACCAGTTTGTCGTCCCCGCGGCCTGGCAGATCGAGTCGGAGGAGCTGCAGCTGCGGCCGCTGCTGGTCCCCTACCGGCGGCCTGCCGAGCTGTCCCCTCCGGTGTCGGTCAAACCCGAACAGCCGCCGGAGGAGAAGGTACTCAGCTGGCTGGCCGGCCAGACGGCCAGCGGAGCACGCGCTGATCGCCCAACACCCACCAGCCGGCCGGCGACGGCGCGCGCCAGCCGAGACACGGCGGAGCTGAACATCAGGTCAGGTCGCCGCGGAGGGAGGGCATGGTGCGTGCAGATTGGGCGGAGAGAGCTTTGGAAACGGCATCCAGCGTTCATCCGAGTGATAGGTTCATCGCGCCTTGTTTCTTTTTTTTGTGCTGCTGAAGTTAGAACCTAATGCTCGGTGAGATGAAATTGTAAGTGTCAATATCGACTGGAATTGCAGCTGAACGCTTTCATTAATTGGAATTATTTCAGCCACCCTGCCATATCACTACTTTCTCACCTTTCTTAACCTTCGCCCCAGTGGGGGGGGGGGGCATATGTTACCACCCTGTCGCGTTTTTTGCGTGTAAATAAAAAACCGCGGCGCGTAGCGCCACGCCGCTTAGGGTAGCTTTTGGTACATCAATTTTGGACAATTTGTGGAATTTTTGACCCCAGGTCATGTCAGGTCAGGTCACCAGGTCAAGTTAACTGACCAAGCCTAAAAAAGTTTGCAATCATGTCCAGCCTGCAGTGTTTGTCAGAAAGGTTTTAAACTTGGTGGATTGCATGATGTTATGGGCGCCTACAATTTGAATATCTCGGATTTTTTATATCCGTGACCTAAGGTCTGGTCAGTGGCGTGAACTTTCCATTACAAGTCAATGGAGAAAAATGAAAATGCCTCTAGATCCGTGTGTACGCATAGGAACAGTCCAAATATTTCAGAATCACAATGATTTGGACCACCCGTGATGACCAAGGTGTCATTTTTGCTGATAGCCTCTAGAAAGGTCATCCGAGGTCATTTGAGGCTACAAACAGATTTTTGCCAATAACTCGCGATTGGAAAGAGATAGAACGCTGGGGCCTCTAGAAAGGTCATCCGAGGTCATTTGAGGCTACAAACAGATTTTTGCCAATAACTCGCGATTGGAAAGAGATAGAACGCTGGGGATGGTCTCATTGTGTTTGTCTTGCCGAGACGCATCGACTGATATGCAACATGACCTTTTCCGCTCAGGTCATGACCTTGACCTGAGGTCAAATTTTCAAGTTGACCTTTCAAGGTCAAATTATAGTTCATTCGACGCGTCTCGGCGAGAGGAACACGATTCTGGCAATAGAAATGTCGTGGCTCTTTGTTGTCGAAAGTTATTGTCGAAAAACGCTTTTCGTAAAAACAGCTATTTTTGGAGTTTTTGCCCTCTGGAGGCTAAACCCGTGACCTGAGGTCAATTTTGATATGATCTTTTCAAAAGAAGAGTTCAAGAGCTATCGATTGCTTTTCCATGCGTTTTTCTAGCTACCATAGTTCCTGAGATAACGACATGTTTTCTGAAGAATATTATGACCATTGGCAAATTTTGACCTTTGATGACCTCTGGTGACCCCAATATTGCTCTAAGATGAAAAATGACCGAAATACTTTCAAACGTACGCATTGAGAGCTATCGACTGGTTTTTACCGCGTCTTTCTAGCCCTCTTAGTTTTTGAGTTAGAGGTGGGTGGTAACATATGCCACCCCCCCCCCCCCCACTAGGGCGAAGTTGGCTGAGACCGCCACTTGCACTGGGGCGCGGGTTAATATGCCTCCGTGTCTCCCGCTCGTCAGTTTCGCGTCCTCGGAGAGCCGGCCGTCGCGCCGCCACCGTGTGCGCGCGCCGCCCGAGTACAGTGGGCTGCAACTGGTGTGGACAGCGCGTCCCATCGAACAGCAGCTGGTGGGCGACGGGCCGCACAACGTGATCGTCATGCAGTTCAATAACCCGGCCGACTTCTACCTGGGCGTCCGCTCGGAGCAGTTCGATGAGTGAGTGGGGGGGGGGGGGGGGGCTCGTCTAGGCACTGCTGGCTTTGTTTCTACGCTGACTGGGAGTTGGGGGCTTGACCGGTGTGCACCAGTAATCCTCTTGTTGTTTACATGATAATTTACTTTTGTTTTGCTTTTCATTTTCATCAATTAAGTTTTGACAATGCTATCCCTCACTTAATTGGTCGATTCGTTGATACCTTACTGTTGACGTTGGGCTCAACATATGAGCCTGCTGCGTAAGTATTATCTTTATAAATGCCTACCTACATTATGCCGAAGATGTTGCAGTCTCATGGAGCTGCATCTGTCCATCCTGCTTTTTACAAGTTGTCGATGACCTTGCCCATATGTTTTGTACAGGTTCGAGGAGCGGCTGTTCTCCGTGTACAGTCGGCTGCCGCTGCACCCGGAACAGGCGGTGCGCGACGCGCTACTGCCCGGCTCCTACTGGGTGGCGCGCTGGGAGAGACCGGGCGAGAAGACGCGCTGGTGCCGCTGCGTCGTACTGGAGGAGCGCAACCAGAAAGGCGGAAAGGTGAGGGCGGAGCGACGGAATGGTGAGGGCGGAACGGTGGAAATGGCGAGGGCGGAACGGCGGAATGGTGAGAACAGAACGGTGGAATTGGGAGCTGTAACGGCCGAAAGGCGAGGAAAGAACGGCTGAAATGTGAGGAGAGCGGCCGAAAGGTCAGGAAAGAAAGACCGAAAGGTGAGGAAAGAACGGCGGAAGTTGGGGTGACGTCCGTTCTGTCCTCACCAAAAAGGTGAGGTCAGAACGGTGGAATGTTAGGCCATGACTATTTGACCACTCTGAGCGATGAGCCGCATGCGTGCCGATGCGATACCGATGCCAGTGCGTGATATGTTGTGCTCTGGCACCGACCAGCCGAATGCAGCTGCTTACAACCCTGTCGCTGCCACTGCCGCCAGGAGCCTGCCTCTGCCAGCTACCCGGTGCTGTGGGTGGTGTCTGTATAGTGTACTGTATAACCCTGCCACTGCCAGCAGGAGCCTGCCTCTGCCAGCTACCCGTTGCTGTGGGTGGGGTCTGTATAGTGTATTGTATAACCCTGCCACTGCCGCCAGGAGCCTGCCTCTGCCAACTACCCGGTGCTGTGGGTGGGGTCTGTATAGTGTACTGTATAACCCTGCCACTGCCGCCAGGACCCTGCCTCGGCCAGCTACCCGGTGCTGTGGGTGGGGTCTGTATAGTGTACTGTATAACCCTGCCATTGCCTCCAGGAGCCTGCCTCGGCCAGCTACCCGGTGCTGTGGGTGAGGTCCGTATAGTGTACTGTATACTGTCACTGCCACTGCCGGCAGGAGCCTGCCTCGGCCAGCTACCCGGTGCTGTGGGTGGACTATGGCGACACGGACCGCCTGCCGGCCGTCAGGTTCCGGCCGATGACTGAGGAGTTCGCCGCCGAGCCGGTGTTTGCCGTCCACGCCCGCTGCGCCGGGGTAGGTGTCAGCCCTCACGACAGCGGTCCGTTGAGGGGTGTCTAAAATCGCCCACCATCCGCTGAATCATGGAGGATAAGAATAGGGAGAATACCAGCGGTGTGGGACTCCGAGGGCTGACTCGAACTAACTTAAAGTAATACTGTTTAAGGACCGCCAAAGCTTTGAGCAAAACATGAACGATGGACCGTACAACCAACATAAGCTGACCAATATGCTTTGTTAGATGATGTTTTGCATATGGTGTAGGGTGAACGACAATGCACATTAATTTATTGTATGACAGCTGATGAAATCATATCGACTGTCTTTGTATTATTGCCGCAAATGCGCATAGCTAAACACGATGTTAATGGAAACTGGTGCTGAATTAATTATGAAGAAGTACGAAGTGGACTGTTACGTAAACATAGACGTCTATTCTCAGCGGAGAATATTCTTGTTGCGTAAGTCTTGAATGTGCTGAATAACTATTTTGCTGTTGCGCCTTTTTTCCCCTCTGACAAACTTCTGTGTATTGAGCAGTTGAGCACCTGGGTGCGTGTACGGGTGTAACCGTACGTTTGTTTTCAGGTGTACCCGGTGGACGAGCTGGGAGCCCAGCTGGACTCGTACTCGGCTGAGGCAGCCACCACGTTCCGTGAACTGCTCCAGGGGACAGTGTGTTTGGCGGTGCCGGTACCCAGCGAGAGCACTACGTGAGTGTGCCGGCCGTGGACAGGGTACTGGCGGGCTAGCCGGCCTGACAGACCGGGGTTGGTGAGACCGTGAGTGGCGGGCTGGTAAAACCGGAGGGAATCAGACTTGGAGTGGGGGGCTCGTAAGACGGTAAGACCTAATGTGAGGGTCTGGTCTGGTCAGACCTGGGCGATGGGGTGGTCACTGACATGGGAGGACGTCATTGGAATGAGATCCCATCGGGAGTGACGTGGGGAAAATGAACGTTCTGTTCTGTACGCCCTGTAAAGTGATTGTGTGATGTAATTAGTGATATTCTGGGCTGCGTCATGAGTTACCGCGGTAGTGAGGCTGTAGCGCGACCGCGTCTTTGGTGTGACCCGATTTGTCCCCGCAGCGGGTGCCAGGCAGTGCTGCTGGAGGCAATCATAGATGGCTCGGACGACCTGATGTCGGTGACGCAGGCTCTTCTGGAGCTGGGAGTGGCGGCCATGCGTGATCCGGAGCTGGACCCGTCCTTCGCTGAGATTGAGGAGCAGCTGGCGAACGGACACACGACGACCGTACCCTCGGCGACGGCCAGTCAGGAGATCGCTAAGGTACGGACGTACTCGCCTCCCGGGTAGTTGGAAAGGCGGGATCGCTGTAGTGTATATGTGGTCTCAGAACTTTGGAATGTCACAATGTGCAAGTCCAAAATATCAGAGGGAGTGAAGCTACTCTCCGCTTGTTGTTTGAAGTCTTGTGTACCCTTAAATACGTTGGTATAGATTTTGTGATTGCATGAATGCATTTCAAATTCTATTTTTCTTCTTTCGTTCATTACTGAAATGCGATTCGTGCGTGCTCATCAAAATACTGCGTTAAATATATGAACGGGTGATTTCACCAGCCATTGACCTCATTGAACCACGCACGTTTTATTTCGCGTCACCCCGTTCCAACTGCACAAATATCCATGTAGTAATCTGCTCCGGTAAACCATAATTTGTCAACCTCTTATCAGCTGCTGTTAGCGCGGTAGTTCTCCACGTCGTGTGCACCATTACAATCATACCTACCGACTCATTGTAGCACCTCCGTTACGTGTCTCTCCACCCCTCCGCAGTGGGACCCGATGGGTGAGGACTTCACGTCCCCCTTCAACCGTCCGGAGGAGGACGGAGAGGCGGAGGTGGCCGGCCTGACGGGACGCCGGGACCCCGATGACCCGGGCGTGTGTCCCGTGTACGCGTCCGGCCGCCGCTGCTGGGACGGCATCGCCTGCCCCAAACGACACGTTCGAGGCGGTGAGTAACAGACGCGCCGAGGGGGGGGGGGGGGGATGGTGACTGGAGGGGTTGTTGGTGGTGCTGGTTGGATGCTATGTTTGATGTGTAGATTGGGGTTTGACCAGACATGGGATTTGATCCATGCCAGATTCCTTCAGATTTTCCTGCATACTGGTATGTTTTTAGTTTACCTTCTGCAATTCACTATTCGCATATTGATAATGCCCGGTCCGTATGATTTTAGCAACTTTATGGTGTACCTGTAGTCCGTTTTAGTTCAGTTCGACTCCTGAAGTTAGACACATGTTTTCACCGAAAGAAGTTTTTTCTCGCCTTTTGCTGGCTGGCTGGCGATGAGACGTTTGTTGTGCTCGATGTGTCCCGCCCATGATGATTTCATCCGCTCCCTTGCCCCTCAGCGCCTCCCTCACGCCCCCCCCCCCCCCTCCCCCCGGCCTCCAGGTGACCAGGAGCCGGTGACCGTCCTCATTCACTCGGCCAATCCGGAGCCAGTGGTGGTGCCGCGGATCGGCTCCACCGTCTACGTCAAGGTGTCGGCCGTGCTGAGCCCGGACAAGTTCTACGTGCAGCTGCCGTTCGGCGCCATACCCGCCCAGGAGGTCAACAGCGACCGTGAGTATTTCGGGAGAACGGCAGCAGCGGCTGTCTCAATTTTGAGCAGTCTGTAGCCAGACAGGCTTTGCCAATACTTACTGGAGAACGGAGATACGAGTACTTGGTGTCTTAGGTATATTATTTGATATTTGCGGGTGGCATTGGTGGTTGTCGACTCTCCTCCGTGAGTTCTTGTGGGAAAAGCTACTTGTTTATGTGTGCTTTGTTTCTATAGAAAAAAATTGAATGTAAGAGTATAAGGATGTAAGACTTACGTCTTAGTCCTACGCCACTGTGTCAGAATAATAGCAACAACTTTGGCCTGCACTGACATCTAAATGAAATTATAACATTTCATTATATTCATTTTTAAACCAAAGTCCCACAAACTCTTATCCTACCAACACAGAGTCCGACCTATGCCCTTCACTCCGCCGCTATCGGTAGCTTGATCTGGCCACCGTGCCACCCGACACCGCGCTGTGCCGCTCCCTGCACCCGGCCCCGCCCCGGTCCTAGCAACACCTGAGTCCTGCGAGCTGCTGCGTGCGCTGATACCGTATCTGATCCGCTCCCCCGAGATTTATTTGAGGGTTTGGCGCACAGTACGGGTGTCGTGGCAGCGCTATCGATAGTTGATTTGATAGTTCTAGTGTTATGAAACTGTTTGTGCCGGGTGGCGTTATCGCTGCTCACGTGTCAACACTGCGTTTCAATTACATTGTTAAGGGACTGATATATAATTAAATAGCGTGCATCATACTCAGTCTTCGATAATGCAGTATCATGACAACAGCTTGGCTTGATATTGTTGTCTGGCGCTCTGGCAATGCCGCTTTGTGAATCATCTTTGAAATGACTGACGTCCTAAGCTTATCAATGTCCTTTAACGACTGTCAAAACGCTAAGTCATGTGGCCGGCTTCACTGTTCACATGTTGGTGTACGTGATCGCTCGTACTTCTTACGACTTTCGTCGGATTTGTGCGCTAACTAGTTGTCAGGTAGCTTCGTGGCATGTCCTTGTGGCCAGTCCCTCCTCGTGTGACCTGTCCCATTGTTCTTGTGACCAGAATAGTTCATGTATGTACCCGTCTCTGTGACCCATCCCTGTGACCTGCCCTGTGACCTGTGACCTTTGTGACCTCTCTCTTCTCGTGCTCAGACGCCGGGTACCGACGCCGACTGGACATGGACGAAACACTGGAGTCGCTGTCGGCGGCGATGGCAGCGGCGTACCGGAGTTGCGGCCGGCGCCACTACAGTGCCGCCTGCCGGCCGGCGATCGGCGAGGTGCTGGTGGCGCCGTTCCAGGGCGGCTGGCAGCGAGCCATGGTCGTGGACCTGGCCGATGAACCCGAGACGGACCGGCTCTCTGTGGAGGTGAGTACCGACTACCGAGTCGGACCTGCTCCCTGTCGTGGAGGTGAGCTAGAGTCGGACCGGTAAGTTAGAGCCGGACCGGCTCACTGTGGAGAAACAGTCCGACCCACGCACTGTGGAGAGTCGAACCGGCTCGGCGGCTCACTGTATAGAGTCGGACAGGCTCACTGTATAAAGTTGGGCCGGCTCACTATGTGGAGTCGGATAGGCTCACTGTGGAGAGACAGACTGGCTCATGTAATAACTGTAGGGAGTCGGACTGGCTCACTGTAGTGACTCTGGAGAGTGGAACCGGCTCACTTGAAAGTCGCACCAGTTCACCGTCAGAGGAGTCGGACCCGTTGAGTTAAGAGTCCGGAGTCGGACCGGCTCTTGTTGGAGGCGAGTTCGCCGAGTTGCACCGCGCGGGATCCCATACTGAGCCAGTTTATACTCTGGGCTGTGGACGAGGGCTACGCTGAAGGCTGCAGGATGCGAGCTTCTGTTGCTGCAGCGTAGGTACTTGACAATCATAATATGTCTAATATTTGTATTTGTAAACATAACCAATCGGTATGATCAGTCTGTTGAACATCGCGTAAATTTCTGACACATTTAGATGTTTCGTTGGTGTGTCTAGTGGCTACTCAGTTTATTAACAAAATTGTTTTCAATTTGTTTGGGTGTTGGCAATGCGCATTTGTCGTAAGCTGGTTGAAGCATGTGCCTTTTTTAAGTGCTTGTTTGCCGTTTTACTGCAACTGTTTTCAGTTCTAAAAATTTGATGCTTGCAAAAACACTTTTTGTTTCTCTAATGGTTTGTAAAACGGAAGAAACCATAAATTAAATTGAAGATTTAGCATTCCGTACAGTGAACGAAACCCACATTAATTATGCCACCCTGCGTCGTGCCCTGGCACGTAATTCGAATAAAAAAGACGAACAATAAAGTAGCCACCTGAGAGGCGGGGCACGTACTCGGAAATTTCCATCATTCACTTTATGGATATGACTGTCACAAACAACGAATGGCGTGTTAGAGGAAAACGCCAAAGAACACACGTCACACGCAAACCTGCGCGTGAATGGTGCTCGTGGCTTGTTTCTTAGTTTTACGTCCGTTCCATGTGATGCGGGTAAACACCAGGAACAAGTCTGTTACAAGCCCTTGATGAGTGTGTGGCTGCGTTTGCGACAGGTGTTTCTGGTGGACCACGGTGTGACGATGGCCTGTGACGCCAGCGAACTGAGGGAGATGAAACAGGAGTTCAACCTGCTGCCGTACCAGGTAAGCGAGCCCCGCTGAGATCTATTGTGCCCTCTTTGTTCTCTCCATTCTCTCTGAATGTGATGCGGGTGAAACAAGAGTTCAATCTGCTGCCGTACCAGGTAAGCGAGCCCCGCTGAGATCTATTTTGCCCTCTTTGTTCTCTCCATTCTCTCTGAATTATTATCATAGTAACTGGCACACCCGAGTGGATTTGGTAGTGACAGGAAGCGGCAGTGCTGCCACGGAGACGGCCAGGCTGGCGTTCACAGTGCAGTCTCAGAGATGTGACTGCCGACTGATGACTTTGACTATGACTAATGACTGATTTGTGTTGACTGTGAGACTGACTGTACGGCACTCTCTGCCGGCAGGCGGTGTCGTGCTGGTTGAGCTGTGTGGCTCCGGCCAGCGGTAGCCACTGGTCTCCAAAGGCCATCAGTCGGTTCGTCAATCTGGTGAGTCGGCCCTGTCTGCTGGGCGCAGTGACGGGTCGCCGGCCGGACGGACAGCTCGAGCTCGACCTGTACGACGAACACCGCCACCTGAGCGAGATTTTAGTCCGCGAGAGACTGGCCGTACGCGTCCAGCGCGCTCCCCAGCCGGTCGGTAGAAAGCTGCTGCCGGTGTAGGCAGACCCCGGCCGAGTCGGCACTGCCGCTAGGCCCGTACAGGGGGACGTGATAATGGCTGTAAGATAGGTGAGAGACGCGTGAGAGAGGTCAAAAAGACGCGTGAGAGAGGTGAGAGGCAGTGTGAGACGTGCAGGGTGTTGATATTAGGACGTAGGAGCTGGGCCTGCCCGTTTTCGTGATAACTGCCTTTGCCACTTGATATTACAGTGCCTTAGTGAAGAAGTAAGCGTCACCCTAGTCTGAAGGTGAGTTCAGTGCTCTTGCAGTACCGTGATAACGATATAGACGCTCCCCAGCGCAGGCGTCAGCGCGTTGTCGGCAGGCTGTTTGCCAGCTCCTTTACTCAAGGACCAAGTGTGTGTTTCCAGTGAGGAGTCGCATCTCCCTGCGGAGCTCTGAGTTCCCTTTCCACTGAATATCATGTTGTGTACATTATGAGGTTACGTCATAAGCACAGAGTTTTCATTTTTATATGAAATACACGTTTACCTTTACAAATATTCATTGTTATCTTGTCGTTCTCGGCTTCGGAAAATCATTTGCATGGACTGAATACGATACAGAACAGTGATACCGTACCAGGCTATCGCACGGTGCAGTAATCATTTTATCCTATAGCGTTGCTGGTACAATTTACGTGTGAAGCAAACGCTGATCTCATGTTTGTAATACTTTTACGGAAAGAATTGAAGTTATCTTAATCAGTATTTTATAGGCGACAGCCGCATGTTTCGGGCTAGACGACACAGTTTCAGTTTTTGATGCTGGTAAAATAGCTGATTTGGACGAGCATTTAATCTCCGGTAACATATCCTGCCATTCTTGGTAACAGTTGCCAACGCATCACACAGTAATTTAACGATCTTTAAAAATGCAGCTTGTCAATGTTTGCTTGTCAATGTCATTCGTGACTCGGTGCATAGTCATCATTGTTGGTCCAAGCAGTAGCGGCGGAACACCTTCAATTAGGGGGGAGGCATTGCCGACTTTTGATCCCATTCTTTCCATGCAACGCCCATAGGGCTGATGTTAAAATGCCCAGGTCAAGGGGGGGGCACGGTGCCCCGGTGCCCTCCCCGTTCCGCCGCCTATGGGCCCAAGGCCCTTGCTTGGTTGGGTGGAATGTGGATAGCATCAACGATTCCTCCTTTGCATTCGGCAATAGACGGCGCCCACATCTCACTGGCATCTTGCTTGCTGAGAAAATAGAAAAATCAAACATAGCCCATGACTTCCACTCCACATCTGGCCGAATTGAAGGTCGTTTGAGGGTGTACCGTGCGTTTCATGATCAAGTGCATTCATGTTGGAGGTGTGTTAGACTGTTAGTCTTATCAGCACCATGTCTCGAAGGACATGCCCGACATGTTATCAGCTGGCGGTCAGGAACCCGCGACGCACTCGCAGGGAGTGCAGTCGACCGTCGACGGACGCGGTGGTGGCAGGGCAAGGACTGGGGACTACAGGCGTCTGAAGGTCGGAGGATTGTATTAAGTCGCCCCTTGGAGGTCAAAGGTCTGCAGTTGGTCGCCTTCTGAAGGTCGAAGGTTTGCAGTCGGTCGCCTTCTGAAGGTCGAAGGTTTGCAGTCGGTCCCGTGCCGTCTGTCGCTGAGAATGCTACACTTTGGCGCCGGTTGTCGTGTTAAAAGTTGTCAGGTGATGTGACATCGAGGTCCACCAGCCCATCGAAGTCTCCTCAGCCATGCAGCTGGACACCGGATACATGGTCGAGCAGATGCTCGGCATGTTCTACATCAGGAACGTGACGGCGTCGTTCGTCCCGCCACTGGAGCGGCCGCCCAGCTATCTATCGCAGGCGCTGCCCTGGTTCCTCATGCTGGTGTTTCTGGAGGCGGTGTTTCTGCGTCTGAAGGGACGCCAGTGGGATCTCAGCGACGCCGCCGTCTCCTCCTCACAAGGTCTGGCTCAAGAGGCCGTCCGTTACACCCTCCGCGGCTGCGAGGGCTGGGCCTACGTCTACATTTGGCAGCACTATCGCTGGTTCGACGTGCCCTGGGACTCGCCCGTCAGCTTCTGGTTCACCATGCTCGCTGTCGACCTGGGCTACTACTGGTTCCACCGGGCCTCGCACGAAGTGAACCTGGTGTGGGCGTCTCACCAGGTGCACCACAGCTCCGAGTACTACAACCTGTCCACCGCGTTGCGACAGTCGGTGGTGCAGCACTACTTCAAGTGGATCGCCTACATCCCGCTGGCCATCATCGGCGTGGCGCCGTCCATGTTCTTCACCCACGTCCAGTTCAACCTAGTGTATCAGTATTGGATCCACACCGAGGTGGTCAAGAGTCTGGGACCGCTGGAGCACGTGCTCAACACACCCTCCCACCACCGCGTCCACCACGGCTCCAACGTCAAGTACCTGGACAAGAACTACGCCGGCGTGCTCATCATCTGGGACCGGCTGTTCGGCACCTTCTGCTGGGAGGAGGAGACGCCCACCTACGGGCTCGTGCACAACATCGAGTCGTACAACCTGTGGACCATCCAGCTGGCGCACTTCCGCTGGATCGCGTCCGACGTGCCTCAGCAGGTGGGCTGGCGGAACAAGTTGCGCCGTCTGGTGTGCGGCCCCGGCTGGGTGCCCGGCACCGGCCGTCTGGGCGACTCTAGTACGTTCCCGGAGCCGGACCCGGCGCGGCGCCGGTTCGACACGGGCCGGCCGCTGTGGCTGCAGCTGTACGCCACGCTGCACCTGCTGCTGCTGCTGGCGCCGTCGGTGACGTTCGCGCAGCAGCACCTGGCGCTGCCGCCGCTGGGCGTGCTGCTGTACAGCGGTCAGCTGCTGCTGGCGCTCAGCTGCGTCGGCTGGCTGCTGGACGGCGCCGGCTGGGCGCCGCTGGCCGAGCTGGTGCGCTGCGCGCTGGCGCTGGTCAGCCTGGCCTGGGTGGGCGGCCAGTACCCGGCGGCGGCCGTCACCGCCGGCAGAGCCGTGCTCGCCGGATCCATGCTGCTCTGGCTCGGAGCCGTCTCCCTCGGCGACGGAAAGGCCAAGGCCAAGGCGCAGTAACGGCGCCTCGTGCTGAACAATGCTAACAACTGATGAAAACCGTGTTTCTGATTGTTACAAATATGAAAAATGAAATGAAACTAAATAAGTTATCATCAGAAGAAAAACTATACGTTGGGAGGATTTTTTTCATTACCGAACGAGTAGTTTTTTTTTGCATTTTTACGTTCCCATCTGCACCTCCCACTAAAAACTTTTTTACACACACGACACTCGTGAATAAAGATATTTCCCCACAAAATGTGTTTTATCCCCCGCCGTTTTTTCTAGTTAGGATTTTTCTGGGGAGGACACACACGACAGGTACCTATTGGTTGGTGGATGGGAACATGGGAACACCATTGCGACGCGCTGGGAACAGCAGCCCGATAGCTAGGCGATCTTTTTAGAATCTTGTGTGCATGTTCTTGCCTTGTTGGTTTTGGGCTGAATATACTACTAGCCCCTGTTTGAACAGCTACAGTAGATATTTTTCCTGATAAGGGCTTGGAGCTCTAGATTTCTCGAGGTTGGTTGTTTCTGCAATCTGTTGAGACGTCCGATTTTTGCGTTTTTGGCAGACTCTATGGAGAAACAAGAAATATGGTTTCCTGCCGTGAAAATTTTATCTTCCGTAGTAACTTTTATTTTAGAAGGAAACTTGTACGACATCGATTTTCCCAGCATCGTATTTCTCTCGTCAAGACACGTCGAAGATTTCAGATAAGCGGACATTATATTGGCATTTACTTCACAGGAACGCGTCATAAGGCTATACCTATAAACAAATATCCATGTTTGGTGAGGTCTCTGGCTCGGCGGCAATCTTGTATTTGTCTCTTCTCTCCCTTGCAATAACGGGTAGCGAGTGGTTCTGCTACTGCGCCTTGGTCTTGGCCTTTCCGTCGCCGAGGGAGACGGCTCCGAGCCAGAGCAGCATGGATCCGGCGAGCACGGCTCTGCCGGCGGTGACGGCCGCCGCCGGGTACTGGCCGCCCACCCAGGCCAGGCTGACCAGCGCCAGCGCGCAGCGCACCAGCTCGGCCAGCGGCGCCCAGCCGGCGCCGTCCAGCAGCCAGCCGACGCAGCTGAGCGCCAGCAGCAGCTGACCGCTGTACAGCAGCACGCCCAGCGGCGGCAGCGCCAGGTGCTGCTGCGCGAACGTCACCGACGGCGCCAGCAGCAGCAGCAGGTGCAGCGTGGCGTACAGCTGCAGCCACAGCGGCCGGCCCGTGTCGAACCGGCGCCGCGCCGGGTCCGGCTCCGGGAACGTGCTCGGGTCGCCCAGACGGCCGGTGCCGGGCACCCAGCCGGGGCCGCACACCAGACGGCGCAGCTTGTTCCGCCAGCCCACCTGCTGAGGCACGTCGGACGCGATCCAGCGGAAGTGCGCCAGCTGGATGGTCCACAGGTTGTACGACTCGATGTTGTGCACGAGCCCGTAGGTGGGCGTCTCCTCCTCCCAGCAGAAGGTGCCGAACAGCCGGTCCCAGATGATAAGCACGCCGGCGTAGTTCTTGTCCAGGTACTTGACGTTGGAGCCGTGGTGCACGCGGTGGTGGGAGGGCGTGTTGAGCACGTGCTCCAGCGGTCCCAGGCTCTTGACTACCTCGGTGTGGATCCAGAACTGGTACACCAAGTTGAACTGGGAGTGCGTGAAGAACATGGAAGGTGCAACGCCAAGGAAGGCTAGCGGAAGGTAAACACACCAGCTGAAATATTGCTGCACGACTGACTGCCTCAGCGCCGTCGCCAAGTTATAGTATTCAGAGCTGTGGTGCACCTGGTGAGATGCCCACACCAGATTCACTTCGTGCGAAGCCCGGTGGAACCAGTAGTAGCCCAGGTCGACAGCGAGCATGGTGAACCAGAAGCTGACGGGTGAGTCCCAGGGCACGTCGAACCAGCGATAGTGCTGCCAAATGTAGACGTAGGCCCAACCCTCGCAGCCGCGGAGGGTGTAACGGACGACCTCTTGCGCCAAGCCTTGAGACGTAGACACTGTAGCGTCCGCGAGGTCCCACTTACGCCCCTTCAGACGAATCAGCACCGCCTCAATCGCGATGAAGACGAAGAACCAGGGCAGCGCTTGCTCGATGTAATTCGGGGGATCCTTTGTCGGCGGGACGAACGACGCCGTCACGTTCCTGATGTAGAACATGCCGAGCACCTGCTCGACGTATTTGCCGACGTCCGGCCCCATGGCGAAGATGTGATTCCCTGACTCTGGCGCAAGATGTGTGTCCCTGACTCTGGCAACGTCCCACGGACCGCCTGCAGTCACACCCACCGCCAGACGACGACTGGCTCCACGACTGGCTCCGGTCGCCTCGCTCAACGCCCGGCTCGCCCGCGCGATGACCTTGTGATAAACAGTTGATAGAGCAGAGGCCCGCCTCCCACTTCATAAACACTCCACTCATGAGCGAAAAAAAGCCGATAAGACAGGACTGTGACCGATAGGAAGTTATTGCTTCATCTGAAGCCTGAAGCTCAGGTCCGATTGCCTCCCAATCGAATTCGGATATATTCGTATATTGTATATTTGGATTAGCTTGTAAACACACTGCTGCTTAGGAAGGTGCGGCTAACTCCGTCACGTGTCTCGAAGCGCTTTAGCGGCGCAGGCTAGTGGGCAGTGGCGTTGCCGTTTTCTATGAAGTGTGATGGAGGTGTGTTACATAACCTGCTAAATTCAAATATGGCGCACGAAAGTTTGTGTTTTGCTACAAATTGGTATGTTATGGTTAAAGGATTCACTTATGACCCTCTATGCCCTATGTTCATTTCGTCGTCGCATTGAAGAAATCGACTCCAAATGCTTTTGGTGTCCATCAAATGTTCAACTGTTGTCTGTTTGGGTCTTGTACAGCGGGTCTATTGCATGCGTTAGATCTCCGCAAATAGGGAGGTAGGTACTGCATGCTTTTTCAGGTTTGCATGTATTTGAATTCCAGATAAATATTGCTGGGTGGGTATTTAGGAGCTCTGCTATATTGAGCATTAAGTCCTTAAAATGCCTATGGGCAGGCTAGCCTGCTCATAAGAATAAGCACGTCTTAAAATTCAGAATGTCTCTAATCTCCATGTGCAGTGTGACCCTCTCCTGAGTTCGCGCGAGATATCAGTCTGTGATATCACGAGGCATGGCATGACATATGCAGCTATTATTCCTTTTCTCCAATTCATATAGATAAATCAGGTGCAGAAGATTGCTTTCCAGGCATTCCTTGTACCTATGTGCCAATGGTCAACTATACGCCGAGGACAAATATGTTGGATCATGTCATGTAGGGGAGAGTGGGGTGGGTTGTATCAGTTTTTACTCCGAGACCCATAACCTCGTAACTATCCGTGATAAACTCATTATTTCCATACTATCTCCTTCCTTGATTCTTCTGCTTTTTTGTGCAAAGTAACTTTTCCGCTACCTCTACTAGTTTTTCTTCTACGGTCTGCCGAATAGAACAATGTTTTTGATACAACTTGCCCCATGGCTTGGGTGAGTTGTATCACATGGTGGGGTAATTTGTATCACTATTTCACGTTTCAGGGAGTGTGCTTGCTACTGGTTTTGAACATAACAACAACATTAAATGGGGTTAATACAATGTATATGCTCAAAGGCTTCACTTTTATTAGACCAAACTTAGGTCAATCCGAACGAAACATCGAAACGAACGAAACATCAACAGACTAGACGCAAAAGTGACCCGTTAAGAGCAAAGCAGCCAACACATTGTGCCAAAATGGAACGAGTATTGACTAGCTACCTACAAACGCGAGCCAGGGCTTAGCTTTCGCGATCAAAAGCAACATACCCATACATACATACATACATACATGTTACAACATACCCCACCCGGCTCTGATACAACATGTACCTCGCCGCCATCTTGGAAAAAACTTCCTCGTTCTCAAAAACAGCGGACAGCTGGAGAAATCCATTTTCACTCACGCAGCCTTAGAACCTACCCTCACCACCGCTACGGAGATCTTTCAAATTTGTGCACATCTAAATGCCCAAAACACACATTTTCCTGCAACTTATTTTTTTAGAATGACATTAAAAAAACATAAAATCGGCTCTCACCTCGAGACGCGTCCACCCAGCCACACGACAGAACAGAGAAAGGTGGCGCCCGGAAAACCTCGTCGGCTGGTCGTGTCACGAGCGCTATCTATTGGATAAGTTTGGCACAATTCGCCCTGATACAACTTGGACATGATACAACTCACCCCGCTCTCCCCTATTACAAATAATAAAATAATCGAAATAACTATTTATCATACTTTTCTGTGCAGCATCTTTTCGGATGCCTTGTTATCATCGTTTGGTCACTCATCACTCATGTTCCGCAGAGCCGGCTGATCCCATACCCTGCGACCTTTATGGCAAGGCTGATGGCTTGTTATGAGCGTCTTCTGTCCCGGTGACAGCGGCCGCCCGGTGCGGGGCACTCATTTCACGGTACTGACGGCACACATGGCAGACGCGCAGCCGCAGTGGCAGATCCAGGGGAGGGCAAATAGGGCAATTGCCCCTCCCAAACGGCAAAATTTTAACACTACGCCTATAGACACTAGACAGTGCATGGAAAGAACCACTATGTTGTTATGGTTTGCCCCTCCCAAAACTCTGAGCTGGATCCGCCAGTGCGCAGCCGCCCGCAGGAGGGGAGGGGGGAGTATCGGGCATACTGCAGAGACATCAGGACGGTATTATAGAGCCGAGAATGATCGTGAACAGCAGTTGCAGTGGCGGATCCAGGGGGGGGGGCAAAATGGGCATTTGCCCCCCCCCCCCAAACGGCATGATTTTAACATTACGCCTATGGACGATGCATGGAAAGAATCGATAAATTGTTATAGTTTGCCCCCCCCAAAAAAAAACTCTGAGCTGCATCCGCCTCTGAGCAGTTGTAGATGAATGGCTTACTATTATAAAAATCAATATATTTATAGATGACATTAACATCTTTTACGTTCTTTATGGTGCAATGCCTGGATGAGGTCTGTACCATTACCATAGTACCATGTGACGTCGAAAGATTGTGGAAATGTTTGATGTTTACCTGTGCCACGCAGCAATGTTTATTGACGTTTATCTATCCGTTTATACATACTCCTGGGGCATAGATGTTATTTCCCCTTTTCCCGTGAAGAATGATAACGCGATAGAGCGTCTACCACATTCATCTGCACTTAACGCTGGAAGACTAGAAACCCGTGAATAAGACCACAAACATTCAGCCC